AGAATAAAATCCTTTTAATGTCCAAAGTCACTTTAAGTTCCAAAGAATAAAATCACTTTAATGGTTAAAGAATAAAATTGCTTTGATGACCAAAGGATAAATCACTTTAAAATAAATATATAAAATGGCCAAAGAACTTGTCAAAACTGAAATAATTTGTTTAAAAAGGAAATTGCATTGTAAATACTAAACAACGGAGGAATATAACTAGTACTTTAACAGTTGAAAATGAATAGATCAGTTAAAAATGCTGACATGAAAGGCAACGAAAAAAATTCAGAAACTGATCAGAACTAAGAATAAAAGTCTGTACTAATGAGATTATTTAATCCCAGAATCTGGATATACTTGGATTCAAATTTATAGGCAAATTAGAAAGGAACTGGAAATTTATTGTCAAATTGTTACCTCACTTGATTAGCAAGATTCCATAATAAATAAAAACTGATTTTGTTGATTCTCTTACAATTTCCAAACCTTTACCTAAAAAAAAAAAAAATTAAACAAAAATGTCAAAACACCATAACTTCTCAGTAAATAGATACATTAGTATGTATATAGATAATGGATTGCAAGAACTTCCTGTTGGCAGGGAGAAAAGTGATCAAAGATGTTAGTGGAAGGTACATTAATTGATGAAGAAGGTTGCAAGTGTAATCTGAAAGAGAAATATAAAAGAAAATTCAACAACAGAAACAAAAAATTTCTTACAAGTGTTCTTGGTGAAAACAGGTTAATTGACCAGATGCAAAACTAGAGTATTGAACTCAGTTCCGAGTGTGTGTTTTTATCAGAGGCTAATATTTTGCTTTTCAGGGCTGATGAAAGTGATGGAGAAACAGAGAAAAATCCTCTTCTGTCCTTAGCTACACCCAGCCTCTGCCATGCAAAATAAAATTGCATCATAGCAGGTGCTCTTTCATTGCTCACACTTCACTTAATACATTTCAGCATTGCAATCACACACACAAAACAAACACACACACACACACACATATATATATATATATATATATATATATATATATATATATATATATATATATATATATAAGCCAAAAAAGTATTGGATTTTGAAGAATTACCTAAAAATTGAAGGCTGTATGCCTTTTTCAAAACTAAACAACTAGCTTACTTCTTTCCAGATGGAATTTCTCTTCTTCAAGCATTTTATCATATATTCAAAAATAATAGTTATAGTGAAATTAGTACATTCATAAAGTTTTCTTAACTTTTATTGCCAAACCTACTTTGCCAGTTAATGGTAATCTTTGTGGTAGTGGATTTTAAATTTTAGGAAATCCCCATTCTCTAAAAAACTGGATGGCATGTACTAATGCATTAAATTGTTACATCATCCTAGCTTAGAAGGTGTTAATTAAACCAAAGAAGGTATGAAACTTATTAATTATTAAATCAAGATAACACCAAACTTTTGACTTTTAGTGCCTTTATATGGATACCTATATATATATATATCGAGTCTGATTCGCTACCTCTTCATTACTGAGGCCTGTTGGAACAGTTGGTATGATGTTTACCTGATAACATAACTGTCTGGGTTTCAATTCTCGGTAGTGGATTCACACTGCTGATGAATCCCAAATATAGGACAAAACGGACATCCAGTGCTTTCTGCATTCTGTTGAGGTTTCTTCTAGATTCGATGAATTAATTATAATTATCTCAAATCCTCCTAATTTCTATCACTTATATATATATATATATATATATATATGTGTATATACATATGTATATATGTGTATGTGTATATATATATATATATATATGAATGATAAAAATATAATTTTAAGGTATAATATATTTATGGGTTAAAGTGATCAGTATCAGGAATAGAGCATATGCAAATATAAATGCGGAGATTGAGGTCAACACCCAGTGGTGACAGTCTGTTTTATAATTAAACACAATCCTCAGGCCATACATATATATATATATATATGTATATATGTGCATATATATAAAAAATATATATAAATGTATAAAATGTTCCATACTTAAATGCAATACATATATATATATATATATATATATATATATATATATATATATAATAATATATATAAATGTATGTATAAAATTAAGATATAATTAAAATATATTTGTTTAAAAGACTATGAATAAAGACAAAAGGAAAACTTATCTTGGCACATTTCGTCTTCTGATGGACTTTATCAAGGCAAACGAATGGATTTTATAAACAGAAGTAAAAATATTTTTTGATTTTCAGAATATTTTTCAATTTAAGAATGCTCATAAATATATTTTAGGTCAACTGAAAAAGTCAAGATAAATTAACTGGCTTCAAATATGTTTTTTTCGCTCCACAGTAATAACCATGTTTCAAAAATGGAAGCTAAAAGCTTCAAATTTAATTTTGTAATTAAATTAAAAACATTAGTTCCATTTCATCCACAAGCAAATTTTGGAGTAACTTATTATTTAAAATTTACTGTTTTAAAGGCAAAGAAACATTCATAATTCACTGTTTTTGGGGATGTATAGGTTAGAATACATTTTATTTAACTCCAATTTTAAAATCTTTAAATATACAAATAGAAAAAATGCCATAAGAATTTTTTGCCGTTAACAATAAAATTTAAAAAAAAACTGACGATATGCATTTAACGGAGGTCAGAATTCCTGGAAAAATACATCCCTACCCCTACCTAAACATAACCCCATTTCAAATGTAGCTAATAACTGATACAACAAAAGTTAATAAAAATGAACATGCTACCACACCTTGTCTGAATGATTGGATCTCTCTGTATCCTTGGAAACAGTGAATTATGAATTTTCTGTGCCTTTAAAACTTAGTAAATTTTAAAAAATAAGTTAGTCCAAAATACACTTGAGGATGAAATGGAACTAATGTTTTTAATTTAATTACAAAATTAAATTTGAAGCTTTTAGTTTCCATTTTTGAAACTTGGTTATTACTGTGTAGCAAAAAAAAAACATATTTTAAATCAGTTAATTTATAATATTAATGCTCTGTAAATTTACATTGAGCAGTATTTTCTAAAAATAAAATATCAATAAGAACAACAGATTATATATCTTACTGTTATTTATTTTTATTTATGTATACATATATATATATATATATATATATATATATATATATATATATATGAAGAAATATACTCTTAAGGTGTGCTATATTTATAGGATAACGTGCTCAATATCAGAGATAGAGTGTATGTATATATATAAGTGAACATTGAAGTCAGCACTTAGAGGCGACAGGCTGTTTCATGCTAGACGCAAAAATAATGACGTAATAATGTCGTTTTTTGACATATTTTTTAACGTCAAAAACAACATTATTACATCATTATTTTTGCACCAACCTAATAGTTACAAATATTTAAGTAAATGCTCTGTTTATAATAAACAGAATTAACATTAATTACCATCCTGAATGTCCAAGAAATCTCAAGAATTCCTCTGAAGTTAAATGATATGGCACATCATGCCATATATGGTGGTTCTGTGTAAGATACAGGTTCAGAGGATACATATTTTTCTAGATGGTTTCCTTGTTTAAGTTGGTGAATGCTGCCATAATCCTTGCCTTCAGTTCATCTTTGGTGTTACAAGTAGTTTAGTTAGTCTCTTGCTCAACTGCGGCCCAAACATAATAATCAAAGTCTGGGGAGTTAGGTGGTGAGATGTAAGGGGTGATGTGGGCGCAGCAGTTGTCATGACTGGGTTCTCCTATTTCTGTGGCATGATGCAGTCTTGCTACCAAAAATAGGGTCTCCCAGCAGCACTACCTCCACAATAAAATCACTATTTGCTTCAGCCACAGTGTCCAGAAGACTTCGGAATCTTCTGCATCTCCTGGATAGTATACTTGTTTAAGTTCGTGAATGCTGCCATAATCCTTGCCTTCAGTTCACCTTTGGTGTTACAAGGAGTTTTGATGGTCTCTCGATCAACTGCACCCAACACATAATAATCTGGGGAGTTAGGTGACGAGATGTAAGAGGGTGATGTCGCAGAAATTGTCTGATAGCCATGACTGGATTCTTTTGCTTGTGTGACATGGTACAGAGTCTTGTTGCCAGATATAAGTTCTTCCAGCAGCCACCCTCTTGACCCAGGGCAGCACTACCTCCTCAAGGCACTTGATGTGAGCCTCAGTGTTGAGCCTGAGGCCTTGTGGGAAGATGAATGGAGGCATAACCTTGCCTTCACTAGTGATTACTCCAAACACCATGATGCTGACTGGATATATCATCTCTTTCCGAATCCTCTACACTGTCCTTAGATTGACATCCAAACACTGAAATGTTCATATTGGAGATTCCTGTGTGAATGGCAAGCATTACAGCATACTGTTTCCAAATTTCTGGTGGAAGGATTTGTATCATAGTGCTCATTTTTCTCACAGACAATGCCCTACCGTCTCTACTATACTGTAAAGTTGAGAAAAACAAAAACAAATGACACGCATGTGAGAAATTAAAATATAAAATGGCGACAATTTACCAATCGCACACTCTCTATATATGTATATCTATCTATCTATCTATCTATCTGTCTATCTATCTATGTCACTCTTTCTCTCTCTCTCTCTATATATATATATATATATATATATATATATATATATATATATATATAATAATTGAGTACATTATAAACAAAATTCTCAGATTTCTCTAACATTATACAAAACATGATGCCATGAATATTTGACTCAACGTGGGGCATGAGGCTTCCTGTGTACTCTGAAATTTAGTTGCATTTCCCATAAAACTTTCACAGATTCATAAATATTGTACTCTTTTATTGCGGATGTTAAAGATTACGCATTTAGACAACATTCTGATGAGAGAACCAATACCAAATGCCATGTTTTTCAATCAGTGTTCATGTTCAAGAAGAAAAAACAAGTAAGAAAATAAGATTTTATTGAAATTTGACAATAATAATAATAATAATAATAATAATGGGAGATGTTTTAGTTAGATGAAAAGATGATCAGATAGAATAAAAGGAACTTGATAGAAAGAAAGGAAAATAAATGTAAAGAAGAAAGAAAGACAAAAGGAAAGAAAGAAAGAAATAGAATACAAAGAGAAAATAGAAAGAAAAAAGATAAAAATGATAAAGAAACTAAAAAGAGAAAGAAAAATAGAAAATAGGGATATATTCAAACAGACAGAGTGAAAGAAAGAAAAAGAAGAAAAAGAAAGAAAATGGAAAGAGGAAAATGAAAGAAAATGGAAAGAGGAAAAAGAAAGAAAATAGCAGAAAATGAAGGAAATGGAAAGGAAAAAGAAAGACAATCATATGAGGAAAAAGAAAGAAAATGGAAAAAGGAAAAAGAAAGAAAATGGAAAGTGAAAAAAAAAGAAAATGGAAAGAGGGAAAAGTAAGAAAATTGAAAGAGGAAAATGAAAGAAATGGAAAAAGAAAAAAGAAAGACAATCAAAAGAAGAAAAAGAAAGAAAATGGAAAGAAGAAAAAGAAAGAAAATGGAAAGAGCAAAAAGAAAAATGGAAAGAGGAAAAGAAAGAAAATAGAAAGCGGAAAATGAAGGAAATGGAAAGGAAAAAAGAAAGACAATCAAAAGAAGAAAAAGAAAGAAAATGAAAAGGGAAAAAAGAAAGAAAATGGAAAGTGGAAAAAGAAAGAAAATAGAAAGCGGAAAAAGAAAGAAAATCAAAAGAGGAAAAATAAAGAAAATGGAATGAGAAAAAAAGAAAGAAAATGGAAAAAGGGAAAAGAAAGAAAATGGAAAGTTTAATAGAAAATAAGATGATGCCTGAATAGAAAGAATAACGAAAATAAAAAATACAGACAGAAAAAAGGAAGAAAGAATGAATGAAAAATAAGAAATAAATATACAAGAAAGAAATAATGAAATGCAAATAGAAAATAGGTGGATATATGAACAAAAAGAAAGAAAAAAAGAAAGAAAGAAAAAAATGTAAAAGTTAGAAAGAAGAAAGCAATGTGTAAAAGAAACAAAAACAAATGAATGAAGACGAAGTAATAGAGTTAAAAATGAAATGGCAATGAAAAAAACTAAGAAAAAAAGAAAAAGACGGAAATAAAAAAGAGGAGTCAAAACTGAAATGAAAAGAAAAGGAAAAGAAAAGGAAAAGAAGAGGCTTGTCAAAAAGAAAAAAAAAGTATGAGATTCAAAAACTACAAGTATTGTTCAACTTGATTATAAACCTATTACAGGTAAGTTGGAGAGGTTTTAACAAATTTCACAAAGGTAGATCACTAAGTAACCTTACATGTTGTAGAACTCTTTCAAGGAACAAGAGGCGAAATCAAATTTATTTACAAGTGTCGGTACAAGTAAATTTTCTTTCCAATGTAATGACTTTGAAATTATTAGCTTCACATTTGTTCATTTTATCAATTATTTCAAGTCAATTTTACTTCTTTAATGTACAACCAACTTTGGCTGTTAAGCCATCATAAATGGAACAGATCCACTTATGGTCCATGGGGAGATGAAATTCATACCTAGTAATACAGCATTGCTTACTCCTGAGAATTCACAAGGGAAAACACAATGGCACCATCTCTGCAATAATAATAGATCTTTTCCGTTTAGGGAAAATTGTAGACTTTATAATCTCTTTGAAAAGTGAGTAAATGGTAAATACAGTTTTTGAGGAAGTAAAAGAAAATTGGAAATTTTCTATATTTTTTTTTTAAGTTAAAAATAAAACTGAAATATTTTCTAAATGATGCAAACCAGAAAAGAATAGATTAAAGAAAGATGAAGACAAATTAGTTTTTACATGAACAGAGTTGAAATGCTAATAATAATGGACAATCTCCTCAGAGACTTGAAGCAGCAGAAATGTGGTTCTACAGAAGGATACTGAGAAATGAAGCAAGTCCAAAAATTGCCCAATCTCCACAACCAATTCTGCAGGAGCATCAATATTATACCAACCCTTCCTTTTGGATGCTATGAGGGAGGTGCTGATACACGGTTGAAATCCCTAGGACCAAGCAACCCTCAGTTATTAGATGTATTCTATCCAAAGACAGAAGCACAACTGGGAGATAAAGTGTAGTCTTCCCAAAGGCAGATACTACACTTTGATCCCAGCCTAATGGTCAGGGAGTAAAGTAAAAAAATAACTCGAGTAGAACTGGCTATTTGGTCAATGAATGGCAAATATTTCTTATAAGGAAATGGTTAGTATTACCATTGCAATTAGTAATATATGTCTACCCCCATACACATGTAAACACACATGTACACATGCACTAACATAATTCAAGTACTCAAAAATATATGTATATAGATATATACACATGAATACATATATATGATAGACACACACAGGCATGTATAGGTATATACCAGGCTGCCCATGTCGCAAGCGGAAGTGACATAAGGGTGAGGTTTAAAGTCAGTTTAATGGTTATACTATGCAAAAATTGCGCAAGCCTCCTCAGTACTTCCCCTTTTGGGGACGCCTCAGGACCTGGGGCAATAAACCCATCCCCCTCTCCTGAAGTGAAGGTACTGCCTGGGGGGAAGACCCATTGGGAGTTGGGCTTAAAAGTTAAAGAACATGAACAGCATATATCTACAAATATGCAACAAATATGAACATATATGTGTGCATACCATTTTGCATAAATATAAATAAACATTCTCAAGTGTGCACAGATGAAAGAACTTATACATATGTAAAGTATTTAAACTATTTACATTGTTTGGACTGTTGTCCTCATCTTCGTTGCCATATTCACAACATTTCAGCCATTGTATGTTCTGGCCTTCTTCAGGTGATTGGAATTTCAAACAGAAACCTTTATTTCATCTACCAGGGTAGATTGTTCTAGTTCCACATGCCATGCATCTTCCAGATGTCTTAGTATTAGTTATCTTCTTTAACTAGAATCATCTACCCCAGTGGATGAAATAAAAGGTTCAGTTTGAAATTCCAAACACCTGAAGAAGACCAGAGCCTTCAATGGCTGAAACATCATGAATATGGCAATAAAGATGAGGACAACATTCCGAACAATGTAAATAATGTAAATAGTGTAGATATGTAAAGTAGTGTATGCATAATCATGTATGTGTAAATGTTGCAGTTAAATTAAATGACATGTAGCATGTATATGTGTATGTCTGTGTGGGAGTGTCTGCGTCAGGCATATATATGAATGATTTGTCCCCATATGTTTTACAATGACAGCCAGTATTGGAGAACTGATAAAGATAATCTATTTACCCTAGCTGCATTCAGATATATGAATAATAAGGTATTAAGATTAATTTAAAAATTGTTGCTTGCCTTCTGATTGGTTCACAAGGTTGTGACATCATATCCTTATTTAGAAACAGAACTTGTTTCTTATTGGTTCATAGAAATATGACTTCATGGCCTAGCATTTCTGAATTTTCATCTATTTTAGCAATGATGAAACTTGTTTGGTTCTTCTGGTTTTAGTCAACACTACAATTTTAGAAGCATAATATTTACACTTAAAATTAAATCCATCAAATTTAGTATGGATGTGCAAGAGTTGAAATCAGGAAGCTGAATTTGAATTACATTTGAGTGCAATGCATTCACTTTCACACCAATATCCTTAGAAAATGTATGAACCTATTTCTTCTTCCCTTAGCTATGAGTTATATCAGAGGACAGAATTTTATTTTCAGCCTTGAGTGGCAACTGGTCTAGGAGAATGGCAACTCTGAATTAAAAATTGGTTAGGCATTGGGCTAACAACTCTGTCTTGTAAAAACCTACATGAAATGGAAACCACAGAAGCAATATATAATATCATGAGGGTGTGTCCCTATACTTCACAAGGCATGAGTGAAAAAATATGCTTTTATGACTACTACAATCTTAACTCCTTCAAATCTAAGTTCAACCATTATCTATCCTACATATCCTCATAATCTACAATTCTTACATCCATACAACACCATTCAATAACCATTTACAGCTGGGTTTTGCATTTAATGAAGAATAGCATAGAAAAATGTACCATTTTTTTATGAAAATCAAAATTCTATTGTATTTTACATATATAATGTAGACATGAAAGGAAAATAACAGAGTCCAACTTTAAGATTGATTATTCAAGATTCCAAAACTGAGATATTCCGTCTTGTTGGAATTCACCAAGCACACTAAAGAAATTAAAAAGAAAAAAAAAGTGCCAAGTTTAAAATCTTCATAAAATGTATAAAATCTATGATTGATGCCAGTGTTGCAGTTAGCGATGCCTGTCATCATCAAGCGTGTCTCTTCAAAGAATTAATAATGGAGGAGATGAATTTTATTGCGGACTAAAGCTGTCAGATTTGGCATCATAAAACAATACCAAAAATTCTCAGAGTATCAATTTCTTCAACAGTACTAAACAAAAACATAAAATTAAATTAAGAAAAAAGAAAAGAAGAAAAAAGAAAAGTAAATAAAAAAATAAGGTTAAAAATCTTTCTCCTTAACTTTATTAGCTACTGGAGAGTCAGTCTTAAATCAGTGTAATACATTCCAAAGTGAATACAAGTATTTATTTTTCATAACTTGTATATAACCTAGTATATATATATATATATATATATATATGTGTGTGTAAATGGTGATACTCATTTGGAAAAACCTCGGATAGCTCAACTTGCAGTAGAACAAATCGTTACCCAAGGAAAAATGGGGAATAAAAAAAGAAAGAACCAAGAACATTAAAACAAGGCGAAAACAATCGTCCAGTGTTTAAGCTCCAAGTCCAAAGAAAAAAAAAACCCAAAACGAGTAAAAAGACAACTACATAAAGTGCTCAATACACTAAGTAGAGCAAAACCTAAGATAATCCTAAGGCAATCCTAAAGTTTCACCTAAATGGATCTCTCTCTCTCTCTCTCTCTCTCTCTCTCTCTCTATCTCTATATATATATATATATATATATTGCTGTAAAATATATATATATATATATATATATATATATATATATATATATTGTTGCAACCTTACTGAATAGCATCCTGGGTATGATAATAAACTATATCCACGTCCTGGGTGAGACGATAAACTATGTCCAACAGCAAGGCCTCTGATCAGGAGGCTTAGAGGAGCGTGTAACTGCCTCTTAATTGCTGGTGTTCCCAGGTCCACCCTGATCTGGCATGGTAGCACCTGTTAGGGTCCCAGTTATGGGCAAATAGTTGACACCCAAACTTGTATAAAAATAGGTTTTAATACCAGAAATACTTTGTAATAAAAAAATATTACCAGCAATAATTTTTGAAGGAAAAATTATAATCAGCAATAGTTTAAAAAAATATGTACTAACAATACAAACAGCTATACATTCTTTGAAAAAAAAAAATTACCCGCTATAGATTTCTTCAAGGAAAAATATTCCCAGAAATAGATATTTGAAGAAAAACATATTACCAGCAATAAAAATTTTGTCAGCATTGAGGTTGATATGCCGTAACACAAACTAAACCAAAGTAAACCTTACTGAATAGAATAATCAAATGAAGGTTGGTAATGAATGATAATACTTAGGACAAGAACAACACATATAAGATTCGACAGCAGCATATAGAAGTAGTCAACTGCTAGAAGTGAGTCAAGTGAATTCCACAATGAATCTCCAACTGCAGACCAACGTACAGTATTACTGTAAAAGCATAATTGTCCATCCTACAAAATGTTTAATAGCTAAAGCAACACTAAACTAATTGTGTTTTTTTTTTCCAGATTTGCAGATAAGACATTTAGCCATCTTGGCACCTTTTTTTGCCATAGGAATCACTGTGGAATTCAGAATCACATTTGAAGTCAGCTAGTAAACAAACAGGTTAAAATCATTTTGTTTCAGCCCCACTGTCCCAATGGTGGGAGGAAAAAAATAATTCTGGCTTTCAGTAATGGTACCAACATTTATACTCTGGCTTCCAAAGTCCATTCAAGAACTATCAAGAGAATGGTGAATAAGTTTAAAAAAGAGGGAAGAGTAGAAAGGAAAACTGGATGAGGTAGTCACAACAGGAATGGTGATCATCATTTCAATGTAGAGCTAAAGAAAAAATCCAATTCAATCCATAAGAAGTTTGGTACATGAGAGAGGAGTTTCAGCTATAACAGTCTAAAGAACAGTGAAAATGACTTCAAAATGAAATCGTACATGAAATGTGTGAGACACCGAGTTATTCCTGGACAGAAAGTTAGAAGGTTAGAGAGGACGAAGGTCATCTTGAATAAGTTTGAAAATGATCCTGGAATAATATCTATATATATATATATATATATAATGGTTGAAAGCCTTATCTAACAATTGGACAATTTTGCTGTTACAAAATTTGAAAGATTTTTCCGTTACACCTAGTATATCAATATATATTTTAGAGCAGTGTTTCTCAATCTGTTTTACTTCAGGTCACACTTGTAGAATGACTAAAACTCTGGGATGCACTTTAAAGTTTAGTAAGGCAGAATAAGTCATGAAACTTAAAAATGCAAAATTTTTGTTTAGAATTCACAAAGAAGATTAGCCATACAGTTTTTCATCAGATTTATGAAGAATCTGCTATTTTTTCAGAGAGGCTGATAATGACTGTTTTAAATTCCTTGAGGAAGGCAAAAGAAAAAAGATTATCCTCTCTTTCTTAAAGATTGATGATTTTAGCATCCATTTTAAAATATCAAATTACAAAGACTTCACATGGATATGGAAGCTACATTTTAACGATAATTTTTTCTTTAAATATGAAAATAATTTATAAATAACTCATCTGTTAACTTGGGGCACACCTGGCTACCTTTCAGGGTGCATTAGTGAGCCTGGGCACACCTGTCTACCTTTCAGGGTGCTTTAGTGCACCTGGGCACACTTGGCTACCTTCCAGGGTGCATTAGTGAGCCAGGGCACACCTGGCTACCTTTCAGAGTGCATTAGTGAGCCTGGACACACCTGGCTACCTTTCAGGGTGAATTATGAGCAAGGGCACACATGGCTACCTTTCAGAGTGCATTAGTGAGCCTGGGTACACCTGGCTACCTTTCAGAGTGCATTAGTGAGCCAGGGCGCACTTGGCTACATTTCAGGGTGTATTAGTGATTCTGGGCACACCTGGCTACCTTTCAGGGTGCATTAGTTAGCCTGGGCACACTTGGCTACGTTTCAGGGTGCATTAGTTAGCCTGGGCACATCTGGCTACCTTTCAGGGTTCATTAGTGAGCCTGGACAAACCTGGCTACCTTTCAGGGTTCATTATTGAGCCTGGACACACCTGGCTACCTTTCAGGGTGCATTAGTGAGCCAGGGCACACCTGGCTAGCTTTCAGGGTGTATTAGTGAGCCAGGGCACACTTGGCTATCTTTCAGGGTGCATTAGTTATCCTGGGAACATCTGGCTACCTTTCAGGGTGCATTAGAGATTCTGGACACACCTGGCTACCTTTCAGGGTGCATTAGTGAGCTAGGGCACACTTGCCTACCTTTCAGAGTGCATTAGTGAGCCTGGACACACCTGGCTACTTTTCAGGGTGCATTAGTGAGTCTGGGCACACCTGGCTACGTTTCAGAGTGCATTAGTGATTCTGGGCCCACCTGGCTACCTTTCAGAGTGCATTAGTGAGTCAGGGCACACTTGTCTACCTTTCAGGGTGCATTAGTT